TCACATATGTCTCCCCCTGGTCCCAGTGCGTCGCGGCGAAGTGGACGCGCGCCGGGCGTGTTGTGCAAGGATGGCGTCCCCCGTGCATCTCCCCGGACGAGCGGCGGAGACGGTCGTGCACACACCTCAGACGAGCTCAAGCGTGCACGCAGGACACGGCACCGTAGCCGTGCAGTACGCCATCGCCATCGCACCTCCCGGGCTCCCGAACGCGCGTCCGCGTCAGCGTGCACACCCACGACGCTCGCACGGCGGGGCACCCGACCCCACGCGGGACCCGGACACCCTCCCCAAAGCCCCGTTTCGCGTGCCCGGAGGAACAGGTCCGCGGGGCGGCGTCTGTGCTCGGCTCGCGCGGGACGCTCGCGCCACACAAACAACACAAAAACAAAGATTAGCGCACGGGACGGGTATATATTGCGGGCGACGACAGGCTGGGGGCTGCACCGGGCCTCCCGTGCTTTCGTCTTCGCTTTCTGCTCTGCTTTCTGCTCTGCTCTCCGCTAGGTGCACCCTCCCGCATCGTGGCACGTGTGCGTGTACGCCCGCACCGCTGTCCGCGCTGGAGTTATATGCCCGCCGGTGGAAAGGTCAACATCCGCCAAGGTCCGCCGACGTCCAACGGTGGCCGCCACCCAATGGTGCTGACCAGTGCTGACCGCACGCCATATACGGCGGATGCCGACGACCGCCATCGATTACCACCGGCGGTCAGCCGCCTTCGCCGACATCCGCTACACACCTCATTGGACGTCAATGTCTCTGGCCGCCGTTCAGCGGCATCCGCCGTTCGTCATTGGACGATGGTGACAGTCGCCGGCAGTGGACAGCAGCCACTGGCCGCCTACGGTTCTTGCTGGACGTCGGCGGTGGCCACGGGATTCCGGAGGGAGTCGGCGGCGGCCGACGGCCTCCACTGGAAGTCGGTATAATACATTAGATAAAATATAATTTCTTTGAAAGTCTCGCATCTGCTGCGACGAGTTTGACCTCCTCCACACTGCTGCTACCCTCAGAACACCGTCATGGCCTTACCAGTCTTCTTCAAGGGTCCCGTCAACAGATACAGGAAGAAGGACGACCTGATATCTATAGCGGCAGCACTCAAAATCAGTCAGAAGGGCACCGTGATACAGCTCGTCGCACGAATCACAACATACCTATCGGACCACTCCGAAGCGCTGTCGACGAAGCCGCAGTTCCAAGGGCTATATTCGTACAGGCCAGATAACATGCCGACCGGTCGTCCTGCCAAGGAAGGGGCGCCGAAGACAAGCGTAGACAAGGGGCTCGAGGACGCGCATGCCTCCGAGTCAAAGAACGCTGATGGCGCTGCAGGGTAAGCAGAGAACCAGTTTGTGAATGGATGGAGTTGGGTGCTCACAGCTCAGTATCAGAGCGTTCAAGGCCCTCAATGAGGGCAAAGTTGCACATGATCCGCCCCCTAAACACACACACCTGAGGTCGACGAGGGCCACTGTGCGAAGTCTGGATGCGGGAAACAAGGCAAAGCTAGGTAAGTGATCATATGCGACGTGACCAGGAGGTGCCACTTACCTCCGAACACAGGCAGTGGCAACGGCGAGCCGTTACCGGGGCCTGATACTGCTCGAAGCTCATCGAGTAGTCCCTCTTTGACACCGGTGTCGTCGCCCGCTGCTGGCTTTGAAGACGAAGGCAAGGACGAGGGGCGCACGGACACCCTGGCTGATGTCGGAGCAGCCTATGTCGAGGACGTGAGGATGAATACCGACAATGGGAGAACCCCGGTCACATTGTCGGGCACCTACCGTGCTGGTGAGGCTTTGGGAGCGCACGGCCCGGTGACAACGACGGCGCATGCAGGTGATAATAGCGTTACAAGTGAGTTTGCGAAGGTAGCTGGACAGGCGAGGAGCGACTGACCGTGTGCCCCAGTCATCGTCGCCTTGCAGCATCAGAGTGGTCCTATGAAAGGTGTAACGGATGAGATCCACGTCCAAGCCAGCAACAAGCTGCGGACGGAGCGGCGTCTGGTGGACGGAGAAGAGAAGCACACCATTCAGCTTTCACAGCTCCTCCCTGCTGCCCTAGAAAATGCGAGCACGCCTACAAAGAGTGCGTTTAGCTTGCATTATTCAATTGAAATGCGCTGACGTACTATCCAACAGAGCGAGGAGGCCGTCTCTTCCGTCCAGGAAGAACGACTGAAAGTGGACGCGTCGCGGTGGGCACCATTCAAGCCGTCATGAATGGCACGCGGATTCCACAGCTCGAGAGCCGCCTAGTGAACACGTACACCCTTGATCCTGTTACGGATGAGGATGACGTGTTTGTCTGTCGGCTGTTCTTGCAAGACGAGATCAGTGAGAGCCTTCACGCCCACCAGGTGCGGCGCATGCATATCTCACGTTGTAATGGAGCGGGCTCACCTGGCATCTTCCTTCAGCCTGCCTTCCAAGGGTCCTCGTTGACCTCACACGCCAAGCCTAATGATATCCTTTGCGAGCCCATCGCCGAAGTGAAATCTGTGCAGCGAGTCAACGCACGGCCGGAGAACGTCGGCGCAACGATGGAGGCCAGCTCAGAGGGCGATGCGGAGGATTTCGAGGAATTCTTGCGCGAGTTGGTTGGCGGCCCAAAGACACAGTGGAAGAAAGCTAAAACAATCGGAGATATCTTGCAGCGTTGCAAAGCAGTGGAAAGGGCGATGGACGTAGTGGGCAAGCTGGGATGGGAGAAGTCGAAGGGCGGCTATCTGATCGCTGCAGGTGAGCGCGCTAGCTCTCCGTGTTCTGTTGCACATTGATCAACCGTACTATCTACACTTCAGATTACTCCGATGCGAGAGGTTTTGCTGGTCGCGCATTCGTTAAGGAAGACATTTTGAAGGCGCTGCGGCTTGGCCACTCGCAGGCGAACAGCGACGCCAATCTGTTCAAGGAGACGCTCCTCAAGAAACTCCCGGACTTGCAGGAATGGTACGACAACCCCGACGGTCCTCAGGCCAAGCAATTCCGAAACATGTCCCTCAAAGGTTACCGTGAGTATACTGAACGGGAGCTTCGGCGGCTGAAGAAGGCCAAGCGCATTGCGAAGTCTCGCAAAGCCCCCCATGAAGGCGAGTCCGACGGTCGTCCTGCAAAAAAAGCGAAGAAGGGGAAGGAGCCTGCCAGGGTCAAGGTCGTAGATTCTGATGACATAGATGACTCGGATTCCTCGGAGTTGAGTGACTGAATGCCAATGTATTCATGTTCGTATTCCGCTGAGGTCACTAGTGGCTACTGAATGCAATATATGCTCGCTGCTCTTCTGTCCGCTACCACCATGCGTGCCACTACACGGGACTTCACATTCATCCTCGAGACATATTTTGCTCCAGACGACAACTTCACTCGCATGCTCTATGTTCTGACGGCCGTCCTCAGCCTCTGGCCCCTCTGGCGTCTTCACCGCCGCCAGTCTCAGGATCCACGCCAGCCAGCACTCACCGCATGGTCCAAAAGTATCCGCTCCTCGCTGCGCTCTGCTGCTACCGATGTTCATCTACTGGGAGCTGGAGAACCGCTGGATGAAGGTGTCGCTGACGACATCCACGCTGATCTGGGTCTCTTGTACGAGTTTCTTGGGATAGATCCAGCAGCCGAGGATGAACCACAACGCCCTCCGCCCCCGCCGATCATTCTATGCACGATGCGCCTCGAATGCACTCGCTGCCCACCCACGGTGACCCGCCGCTCCCTCCGCCGCCGTGTTGATCCTCAAAAGATCCGCGTTCTTTCTGCGGACCTCAAGTGGAAGCCTGCGATACTCTACATCGGTCACTGTGCTGCTTGTCGAGCCGACTACTATCCAGACCGTATCACCTACAAGGCAGAGAACGGACAGCGGCTGCAAATCTTGGAGTACAACTCGCAGTATCTTCGCATTTCCAAGCACGGTCTCTGGGCATCACACCGGATAGCTCGCGCTCAGGAGCACGCGCTCACTTGCTTTCACGCCGGCTGGTCTAACTTTGCAAACTGGGTCAATCGTCTCCTCCAGGCTGATCGTCCACTCCTGACAAACCGCCAATCTCAGCGACTCTTTCTGGAGCACTTCTCTCGCCGGCTCCTGGTGGCTCATAACCTGACCGACGACTTCCGAGTCCCTGCCCACTCGGATGCGGCAACACTGGCTCGGCATGTCCGTGAGCTGCTGGGTGTTGGTGGCGGCTCCTTCCCGGACTCCTTCGACCACGGGTGTACAGAATGTACCCATGCGAAGCGCTACCGTGCCGACCTTGTCGAAGAGGGACTAGTGCTTGGCGGTGTGCAGGCTGCCAACGAGGTTGCAGGGTTACCTATAGAGGTGAGTGTACGTCTTCTTATTGCGTATGCATCGGTTCACAGATGTATGTTTCCAGGACAATGCAGTCCTGGGCCCCGGACCAGCTGCTGCAGCACCTCCTGCACCCCTCCCCGAAGGTCTACCTGCTGCTCCCCCCGTTCAACAAGAAGCAGTTCCTGGAGAGGCACGGGGATATGTGCGGATGGCTGTCATGGATGGAAAGACAATCACACATAGGGTGTGTTTGTTTACATATCGCTTATGCAACCTGTACCTCATCTTTTCATGCAGAAATGTGCTCTGGATGACTGTCGCAACGCACTTGTGAACTACCGGAACGGGAGGTTCTGTGAAGTTCACTTGGGCTGGCAAGTTATCTGTGGTATCATTCCTTGTGGTAGAGAGGTTCATGCAGCGGGCGCTCTCACTTGTGATCGTGCAGAACACAAGGCTTGGTACAGAGGCTGGAAAGCACGATTTACCCGCTTGTCATACCCTGGGGTGCAGCGCGTCATACGCAGGCAACGTGCTGCACCTCAGGATATGGCAGCAGGTAGACCTGCTCTTCAACTTCAGTTACCGTCACTTGATGGTATTCCAGGTGAAGAAGTTGTCCACACATTTCGTGCCAAGACAACCTATTGCCTGGAAACCATACAGTGGGCTTGTGGGATGCCGATTGGCTGGGGCAAATGCTTTAAGTCTGAGAGTGCCCCGCAGGTCTTAGAGATTCTGAACCGGACGTGGCCTGCCACCCGTGAAAATCTCAGACCTAGCTTCATTGCCTATGATGATGCTTGCGACCTCCTACGCCACATTGTCACCCAGGACCCTCAAAGTCCTTGGGTTCAAAGCACAAAGTTCATTGTGGATGCTTGGCACTATATTGGTCATAAAGCGACTGATGTGCTGTGTCGTCTATGGTGCAACCCTGCTCCTTGTGATGGCTCTCAACCTGATCTAATCCTTCTTGAGGAGGACAATCATGGTGAGAGTCACCAAGTCAGGGCTTTCAATATGGAGACTGCAGAACAGTTCAATTCTTGGCTTGATGGCTTTGAGTCTCAGATGCGGCAAATGACAGATGTGAACTATGATTTCTTTGTTCATTCCCTCTTTTTACTGTACACAGATTTGGTTGAACAGCGGATTGAAAAGAAAGGACAAGGACTTGGGGAAACCTTCTGGGATAAAGTTGAAGAGTTGCTGTAACTTACTTTACTATGGCTGTTTTACATCCCGTGCACCGAACTCTGGTCATGAACTCTGTACATCCAATTATTACGTATCATGTCATGTTTCATTATCACTTGAGTAGACAATTAGCTTGTTGTTTTGTACCTTGGACTTCAGACTTCTGTATGTACTCCACTGAGTTCCAGATTTTGTATTTACCCTTTGCTATTTGTAACGACCCAGGACCAGGTCGTTACGGGCATCGTACATCCACGAGCCCAGCGCCGCACGCGCTGGGCAGAGATAAGATAACAATGTATTAAATAGACGTGTGCGGCGTGCGGGTATTCGGAACCCGCGCGCCTAGTGCGGGCAGCCTTTCTACCTGCCCCACTATCCTACGAGTACGCCGAGCCTCAATAGAGCCCGGACCAGAGCACTTGCAGGAAAGGGGCAACAGATTGCGCCCCCCACATGTGAGTTTTACACTATTGTTCCCACTAGACAATAAGGTTCACACCCATGAATACGTGCCCGAAATGTCATAGCACCGCAGTTCAGATTTCTTGTTCCCTAATCCAATCTGCTTCTCCACTTCTCAACTCCCCCCGCCTGACCTCCAAGACCAGACATGCTCAGCTCGCGGGTACCAGATGGGAGACAAGAGCATTCAGGGCAGTGCCTTGAGGCAGTGGTGTGAATTCCAGTCCTTGGACTGGTCCTGTATTCAAAGGACTGGTTTTCACACCTGTATTAATGTATTTTTTCTATATCCACCCAAAACTAGTTTCTATGGAATCAATAGCTTTATATAAACCTATCAAACATTTTCTGTGGTGCAAAGCCTGATAGAAGCCAAGGAATAATTATGTTTTCATTGGTTTACAAATGTGCGCACCATTGAGCGCTTAATAAGCACTGATGATGATGCTGACTCCCTAGGTGGTTGTTGGCGAATGGAGGGAGAGTCTGTCGGGTAGCACACTAGAGAAGCAATGTAAAGCGACAAGCAATAGAAGTGTCGCCTAGAGAGACCAGAGGAGCTGTACGACCGTCCGAGTGGCCTGTCCGAGTGCGAGAGCAAGGAGGAACAGAGGCAAAGCAACAGGGCTTCGTCGAGAGGCGAGCGTCGAGGAGAGCAGACGGGAAAATGAGCAGGAAAACTAAACTGAATAAACACTGTACAAAGGCGCCGTCTAAATACATGAGGGGGTCGGCCCAGAGGGAGCCTGAGCGACTATCTAGGAGGCGGTGTCGTCGGACGTTGGGGAGCGGATGTATCATAAAGAGAGCGGGACGGCGCACGACACAATCACGTGGAGCGCGCGCTGCGAGAAACTACTGAACATGTTGATCCCGCGTGTCGAATGTGTCAGAATCACGATGCGCTGTGATTCCGCATGCGCGGGATGACAAACCTAGAAGACGGATTGAAATACAAACATAAGTGCCACAACGGGGTCGCCAGAACAGGCATGAAACACACGGAACTCTTACTGAGCCCGTGTAAGAACCCGTCGGTTCTATCATAACCAGACCTTGCTAGGTCGTGCGCGGAGGACGAGTAACCGTCATCAGTAAAGGAGACCGATGTCTCCGAGAACCTCGGAGACCCAGGGCGCATAGGCGCCCTTAGATTAGATGTGCTACATCATGTATCTTACGTAAGCGTACGACGCCCCAAGGTTCGGGCCTTGGGCGTCTGGTGGGGTTGACTTCTACCAACCCCACCATCCTACGAGTACGCCGAGCAATACAGCCCGGTCCAGAGTACTTGCGGGATACCGGGGACCGGTAGAGGTCACGTATACTTACAGCCCGCGAACACGGCGGCTTCAAACTCGCAAACAAGTCGTCAAGCCCTTCTCGCAGCCTGCCTTCATCGCCCCTGAGCTCGTCTACTCCAAGGGCGGGATGCGGAGGCGTAAGGGGACCTGTGCCGCCGACCCCGACACGGCTGCACCGACTTCGGCAAAGAAGGCTGCGCGTCGAGGGACTGCGCGCCGGCCTACGGTAGGTGCCCGCGACATGTCCGGGTCCACGCGCACCGCCTCTGGGTCCTGCGGTCACGGCACTTCGGGGTCTTGGTTGGGCGACCAGGACGCCCTGCCCGACCTCAGCCACGAGGACCAGGTCGCGGTCCTCGCCATCCACGCCGAGCGGGAGGCGCAAGTTGCGCGCCGGGGCGTCATCAACCGGATCATCGCAAACCTCGACCAGCAGGAGCGAGAGCTCTTTGGCGCCGCGGACAACGAGGGAGGAGAAGGGATGGGCACGGGGTCCGATGGGTCCGACACCGAGGACAAGGGCAGGGACAACGATGAGTAGGCGCACTGCAAGGGCAGGGAAGTCGGGGGCAGAGGGCCCTGATCGTGAAGGATAAGGTTTAAGTAGAAAAGTAAATAGCACTGGTATCGAGTCGTTTTCTTGTTTTCTTGTTTTCTTGTTTTGTAAGTAGTATGCGCAAAATGTTAAGCGGGAAGTAGTCAGTGTCCATAAACGTGAGTCGTTGGGGCTGGTAAGGGTGAAGAGAGAATGAGTGAGGTTATACGAGCGTCCGTACGGGGCGATAACGAGGGACTGAGTTTTGGGGTGAAGGACTGGTAGGGTACGGAACGGATAAAGGGGTATAGCAGGGAGCGTCCAATGGTTGACAATGCCGCTTTTGGGGGCTCTACTCGTTGGGCTGGTCGAGTGCATCGTCCGCATTGTTGGACCGATTCTCTATGAGCTCGGGGTCGGGGTCTTCTGTCCCATCCTTGTCAGAGTCGATCAGCTCTGAGAGCCGCTTTTGTGAGATCGGCAAAGTTGTCGGGGAGTGCGATTGAGTGTCTTGGGAGGTAGGGGATGAGCCGGAACACTGCAACATGCCTGTGAAAGACAGTCCCATCGAGTTTGCAGATGACATAGGCCCCTCCACAGTTTCGGGAGACAACTACAAGCAGTCCCATGTATCAGGGCCGCATTTTGCAGTTGAGGGACTTCTCGACTTGGGTGTGGCGCATCAGGACGAGGTCCCCCGACTTGAAGTTGAAGTCCCAGATGGTCGCGGTGTTGTCCTGTTTGAACTTCTGTGCGGCACGGTAGACGTCCGACTGTAGCTCCGTGAGCTGCTCCTGGTGCTTCTGGAGAGCGATCGCGTGGCGCGCAATGCGTTTGGTGGTGGAGACGAGCGACTTGGGCGGGGGCATCAGGTACGTGGCTTCGGATATGTCGAAAGGGAGTATCGGATGACAGCCGGTCACCGCGAAGTAAGGCAAGCACCCCATTCGCTTGCAAATGGATACTCGCTCGGACCAGAAGGCGAAGTGCGCGACCTGCAACCACTTGTTCTGGACCCCGTCTGCGGCCTTGTAGAGGACTTGGCGGATGTCGAAGTGCGGCTTCTCAACTACCCCATTTGGCCTCGCGCCCCGCCTCGCATCGTGGATCTGTTACTGTAGGTTTCTTGTCAGTCCCCGTAGGTTACTATTCCGCGCCTCGTTCCCCACCCGTATCCGCCCGTAGCGTACTTACTTGATTTGTCGTTTATTTGTTTCGTGTCGTACTTATACGCGCACCGCGCACACGGTCACCTCAGTCTCGCGTACACCGCGTCTGACTGAGGTGAGCCGCCCCATTTACTTATCGGTTGGTTACTTGTTACTTACCTATGCTCGTGCCCTTAGATTATCGCTCATAGGTATATTCAATCTATTGTATTAGTCCCGCGTACACCGCGTCTGACTGAGATTATCGCTCATAGGTTATGAGCCCTGCGCTCTAAACTCAAACAAGTTAGACTTACCAAACTCGCCAAATACAACATGTCCTCCGTGAAGCTCGGAGAAGACTACGTGTGCGTACCGAAGCTTGAGGTCAGCGGCGCGAACTGGGTCCTGTATAAGGAATGGTTAGCATGGGCCGCCGATGCGAAGGGCGTCTTGGGCCATCTCGACGGCACGTCGAAGGAGCCTGTTGAGCCGGCCGCTTCGGTCAGGCAGCCTGCCTCGACTCCGGCGGTGACAGCGGCGCAGGGAGCGACCACTGGTCCTGGACGAGTCGCAGGGGGAGCTGAAGGCGCTGGCGCCGCTGCCGGAGGAACCGGTGGCGGCGAAGCGACAGCTGCCCCCGCTGGTGGCACTGCGAGTGCTGGCGGACCGGCCGTGGAGGCTGCGAGTCAGGCCGACTCCTTACAGAAGACGTACCTGGACGAGCTCGCCGTATGGCGCAAGGGCGAGGCAGTGGTGAAGCAGCTCATCGCGAGCACCATACCGGACTCCCTGTTCATGAAGATCCGCGCGAAGCCGAATGCGCGCGAGATCTGGGACGCGCTTGCCCGCGAGTTCGAGAAGAAGTCGCGCATGGTCTCGGTCGACCTGTGCCGATGTCTCCAGGAGCAGCGCTGCGGGGAGAAGGACGACGTCAGAATGCATTTTGCGAAGCTACGTACCATGCGCGAGGATCTTTCCGCCATGGGCCATTCCCCCTCCGAAGACGACTTCTATGCTATCATCCTCGGCTCGATGCCAACGTCCTACGAACCCTTCATCTCCGCCGTCTCCGCTACGTCGAGCGTCACGGGCACGGTCTTGAGTCCGGACAACTTGATGGAGGCGCTCACCGACGAGTACGAATGTCGTCTCTTGCGGACGAAGGCTGTGCAACGGGCGGACGCGACAGATGTCGCACTGTCGGCTAGTGACAAGGCAGGCAGTAGCAAGAGCAAGAAGAAGTCCATCGAGTGCTACAATTGCAAGCGCAAGGGGCACTACAAAAGCGAGTGCTGGGCGCCAGGTGGCGGCAAGGAGGGTGAGGGTCCGAAGGGCAAGGGAAAGGTGCGCGAGAACGCGTCGACCGCCCAGGCCCAGGCACCGACTATTCGACTCAGGTGCTACTCGACACATGTCCCCTCACCGACACCGTTTCGTAAGCTACGAGCCTATTCCCCCGAAGCCCATCCAGGCCGCGGACAAACATGTCTTCAAGGCCGTCGGCAAGGGCGACATGTACGTCACCCTCCCGAACAGCAACCGCTCTACTCGTGTCCTGCTGCACGACGTTCTCCATGCGCCAACGATGGGTGTAACTCTCGTGTCCATCGGGCGAGTTGCTTCGAGCGGGGCGACCATGACATTCCGTGAGCGTGGCTGCCGCATCGCGAATGCGGAGGGCGAGACCGTCGTCGACATCACCATGACAAATGGCCTGTACCGCGTCGTAATCCCGGCTGAGCGCGCGGCACCCGCGACTGAGAGCGCACCTGTTGAGGGGGAGCGTGTCGTCAGCGCTGATGAGTGGCATCGCGCGATGGGGCATGTCTCGCATGAAGTCGCTCGCGAGATGCTGCGCAAGGAGCGCGTCCTGGGTGTGCGACTCGATCCGCGTGCGTCTGTCCCATCCACCTGCGAATCTTGCGAGGCCGGGAAGATGACCCGGAAGCCGATTGCGAAGACACGCGTGCGACCGTGCGCTGCGGAGGTTGGCGACGAGCTTCACTCGGACGTCTGGGGGCCTGCACCGAAACAGACCATAGGCGGATGTCAATATGACTCACTTTTCATCGACGACCACGCGCGTTATACCTTCGTGCACCTGCAGCGTGCGAAGGACGAGACTTTCAGCTCGTACCAGAAGGTCGAGGTGTTCCTGCGGACACAAAAGGGTGTCAGCATCAAATGCCTACACACCGACCGCGGCGGCGAGTACATGAGCACGGAGTTCACGGAGCACCTCGCGAAGCAAGGCACCATCCGCAAGCTCACGACCCACGACACCCCCGAGTACAATGGTGTTGCGGAACGCGCGAACCGCACGATCTTCAAGAAGGTCCGTGCGATGCTTCACGAGTCCGGGCTGCCCGACAACCTCTGGGGCGAGGCCGTACACCATGCAGTTTATCTCAAGAATCGCACCCCGACGGTTGCTCTCGACGGAAAGACTCCGTACGAGGTCTTCTGGGGCAAGAAGCCGGATGTCTCGCACTTACGCCCATGGGGCTGCCGGGTGCGTGTCCACGCGCCCGGAGGCTCGAAGCTCTCAAGCCGTGCGGTGATAGGCCAATGGGTTGGCTTCGACACGGAGACGGACACACACCGCATCTACTGGCCCGACCGGCGCAGTGTCACGGTCGAGTGCAGTGTGCGCTTCAACGTCGACGATGCAGACGTCGAGGTGCTGCTCGAGGGGGAGGATGAAGGAGTTAGTACTCACCAGGACGAGCAGCCCTCGCCGTCCGAGCCCTCCCTTCCTGTTGCACCTACCCCACCGCCCAGTCCACCCCCTGCGCCTAAGGCTGCGGCCGAGCCCAAGCCACCTGCAGCCGCTCCAGACGTGCTTGGTGAGTGCTTTGCGAGCGCGCCTGAGGGTCGCCCAAAGCGTGTTCGTCGCGAGTCCGAGTACGTGCGCCGGCTGAAGAGCGGGGAAGGGAGCATGAGCGGCCGCGCTGGCGGTCCAGTGCTGCCGAGAGGGGTGCAGGAAGGGACTAAGATGCGTCAGGCGACGGTCGAGGAGGTCCCAGACAAAGAAGACATAGTGGCAGCGGTAGCGATGGTGGAAGAGGAGGACCTGGCGATGGCGGCGGTCATGGGCGAAGGCGAATGCATCGAGCCGACCTACGCAGAGGCAAAGAGGCGCCCGGACTGGCCGAAATGGGAAGAGGCGATCGGATCGGAGATCGACAGCCTCGTGGCCAATGGTACCTGGACCCTGGTCGAGCGCCCGAAGACCGGCAACGTCATTGACTCCAAATGGGTCTTGCGCGTCAAGAAAAACGCGGCCGGCGAGATCGACAAGTACAAGGCTCGTCTCGTTGCTCGCGGCTTCACTCAAGTCTACGGCGTCGACTACTACGAGACCTTTGCTCCCGTCGCTAAGCTTGCCTCTTTTCGTCTCATCCTGGCTATTGCTGCACGAAACGACTGGTCTACCGACACCTTCGACTTCAACTCCGCCTACCTCAACTCGAAGCTCGACGAAGAGGTCTATCTCGAGCAACCTCCCGATCACGTGTTCGCAGACCGAAAGAAGTATGTCTTGAAGCTGGAGAAGGCGCTCTATGGGCTGAAGCAGGGTGGTCGCAAATGGTACGAGACACTTTGTATCGCGCTCGCTGATCTCGGATTTCGACGCGCAGAGGCCGACTACGGTGTGTTCTACACCCGCGTCAGTATGCACCTTGTCGTCCTCGCGATCCACGTCGATGACTGCCTCATCACCGGCAGCTCGACTCGTCTCATCACCGAGTACAAGCACAAACTCGGCGTGAAGTACAAGCTCACGGACTTGGGGCCGATATCTTGGCTCCTAGGCATCAAAGTCTCGCGCGACCGCTCCGCTCGCACGCTCGCCCTCTCACAACACGCTTATATCGAAGCTATCCTCACGCGCTTCAACTTCGACGACTTGAAGCCTATCTCTATGCCGATGGATCCCTCCCTCCAACTCTCGAAGACTCAATGCCCGGAGTCTGCCGCCGACGTCGCCCGCATGCGCCGTGTCCCGTACAAGGAGGCTGTTGGCTCCCTAATGTACGCAGCCATGGGCACTCGGCCCGATATCGCATTCGCCGTCTCTACGCTCGCACAATTCTCGCAAAACCCTGGCTGGGTTCACTGGGAGGCCGTCAAGCGGGTCTTCCGCTACTTGCTCGGGACGAAGAACCTCTCGCTCATCTACGGTGGAGACCAGCGCGGACTCGAGGGATACGTCGACGTGGACGGCGCGTCGCAGGAGCACAGGCGAGCCATCACCGGGTACATCTTTCTAGTCGACGGCGGCGCTGTTTCGTGGTCGTTGAAGAAGCAAGAGCTTGTAACACTCTCGACGGCCGAGTCCGAATACGTCGCGGCCACTCACGCCGCGAAGGAGGCCATCTGGCTCCGCCGCCTCATTGGCGAAGTCTTCCGCCCACTCTCCGAGCCGACCACCCTCCACAGCGACAGCCAATCGGCCATCGCCCTCACCGTCGACGGCTCGTATCACGCCCGCACAAAGCACATCAATATACGCTATCATTTTATTCGCTACTCTATTGACGCTGGCTCGATCCGACTCCTCTACTGCCCCACCGCCGACATGACCGCGGATGTCCTCACGAAGGCCCTGCCGAGCGTCAAGGTCAAGCACTTTGCGACCGTGCTCGGGCTCGTGTCGGCTTGAGGGGGAGTGTGAGCGTTCAAGCTGCCCGCCGCGCCCTTGCGCGCAGTACCTGGCGCGAGCGCGTGCCTGCCTCGCGCCCCGCCTCGCATCGTGGATCTGTTACTGTAGGTTTCTTGTCAGTCCCCGTAGGTTACTATTCCGCGCCTCGTTCCCCGCCCGTATCCGCCCATAGCGTACTTACTTGATTTGTCGTTTATTTGTTTCGTGTCGTACTTACACGCGCACCATGCACACAGTCACCTCAGTCCCGCGTACACCGCGTCTGACTGAGGTGAGCCGCCCTGTTTACTTATCGGTTGGTTACTTGTTACTTACCTATGCTCGTGCCCTTAGATTATCGCTCATAGGTATATTCAATCTATTGTATTAGTCCCGCGTACACCGCGTCTGACTGAGATTATCGCTCATACAGCACACAGAATGTAACAGGTGTCCAGAAAGGATCAATACTACAGTGCCTTATGGGAGTCTAAATTTGCGCTAGAGGGTGCTAGCCCACTCTCACACCCATCTTGTGATATAGCAAAGTCGCCGTTTTGCTGATGTACTGTACTACATCAACATTCATTGACAGTCATTGGCTGCAGTTGGAATTCCAGCACAGTACACTGACCACCAGAAACTTCCACCAGCATCCAATGGACTCGGTCAAACAACAGTGAACTCCAACAACTGCCATTGGAGGCCGTTGGAATGGCACTGGTTCACAACATGCGCCAGTGGAAACCAGAAAAAACCGGCGTCTAGCATCGGCATCCTCCGGATTCCACCAGATTCCGTGGGAATACGGTAGACTTACCACCTCCGGGCATATTACTGCCGCGCTGCTGCCGATGGCGTACGCGGCCAGTCATGGCGCAGCGCGTGGTGCGGCGCGCTGCGGCTCGACTCGACGGAGGTGCGTATGTCCGTCCGCCGCTGCACTCGTTCCCCGCGCTCATAGACACCAGGTACGCAGGCATGCATCACCGCACTCACCTGCGAGTGCGGAGCGTGACGGCGTGGGCGTCGAGCGGGCGCGTCGGGACGTTCGCACACGCGAGCCGGGGGTGCTGTCGGCCTCCGCGGGTGCGAGAGAGGGGACTGGTATCTGTCATACGTAGGCGCCCGTCAGTAGACGTAGTACGAGGCTCCTGCATGTATTACCGTACCTGGCACCGCTGAAACTTGTTGGGCACAGCATGTTGCAGGCGCGAGCGCCATGTGGTACCGATTTGACTCGCGAGAAATGTCGGTGTGATGGCGGTATGTGTCGAGTAGGTACCTTTGCCGGTGAGTGCGATATCACG